CTGTAACCGTGGAGCGCAATAGTGTTGTCCAGCACTGTGACGCATTGTGCAAGCAGGTCACGGAATGAGGCAATGGGGCTGTCCTTGATCTTCTCAAACTCAGGTTTTGCGCGCAGCCTGGAGCCGACTTCCCACGCCAGCTCGCACAGTTCTGGTGTAGTAATCTTGCATTGCGGATCTGGCAGCTTGAAAGTGCACTTCCCGTGAAGGACCACAAGATGCGTAAGTCTCTTGTATGAACGCTTCGCAGCTTCATCCCGAACCGCTATACTTCATAAGGGCCTTCAAGCTTGGCGGCGAGGTAGGCCAAGTGGATGTGGTCTGTGACCGGAAGCAAGATGGCGAGGTCATGGGAGCTAATCTGCTTGGACACCTCGGAGATAAAGGATTTGGTCAGCATCACGATGCCTCCCCGCTTGGGGCCAAGTTGCAGTCGGTGTGTTTGCTGCATTGGTTTCCCATCTGAGCCCAGAAAAGGGACTTCCGGCTGGATGCATAGATCTTCCCACTTGCGCTGGACAGGGCGAGGTGCCTTGCGCACCCATGGGTCGTTGTCCCAGAGCGGGTCGCTTGGCTCGAGGCCTGTGGCGCTGGCTTGAGGTCCAGCAGGGGCGGCAGTGCTTGGCCCTGTGCGACCTGCGGATTGATTGGAGTCAACTTCCATCGTTCCTACTGTGCCTGCAGCATAGTAGACATTGGGAAATCGGTTGGACTTCACTCGAAGGAGATACCAGTCACGGATGTTGGCCGCAAAGACAACGAAGTCGGGAGGCCCCCTGCTCGCGCCCAAGTATTTCTGGCCTCTCTGCGTACTCGGGCAAAGAGTGTGGCATGTTGCCCAGTGGCAAGCTGGTTGTCATGAAGAAGGCAGAAAATGTCATGAAGACGGTAGAAAATGTTCGCAAGAACATAATAGCCACAGAGGTCTTGTGGCATTGTCTGGTCGACGAAGTCAACTGCAATGCTGGCAGAGTCCAACCCAACCTCACTCATCAGTTGGTGGATCAAAGGTACATAGATCCCAAGTTGATGGATCGGTACCGATGCAATGAAGGTGGATTCTCTTCCTCGCCTGTAGCACTCAAATTGAAGCCAGTGGTTGTTGTGGATGATGAACCAGATGATATGGTCGAAACCAGTGTAATACAGTGTAATCTGGGAGCAAGGCATTGGGAAACTCGAGAGCTCTGGTGACAAGGTTCCAAATGGCTGGAGCACAGAAAAGGGTGTCAGGCTGAATGATTCTGGCAGCCTCCAGGGAGAAATCCATTTCGTCTGATGCCATCCACCCACTGTAGTGCGCATGTGTTCGAGTCTCGTGGTGATTCGCTGAGCTGCTTCTTCAGCAGGAGTTGGAGGGGGCCGCGGCACTGTAGAAGAAAGTGGCCGCAGTCGCACTGGAAAGGCAGCAAATCAGCTCTTTCTGCCAGATCAGGTGTTGGCTTTCCCTTCGAGCAAGGTAGATCAAGAATTGAGTTCTCAATCTCGAGGCAAGCTGGATCAGTTGTGGTGAGGCATTATAACTTCCCCAGTCTTCGATCGAGCACTCCATGGTGAGTTGGATGATATCACGGAAGTGGTCAGCAACACCATGGAAGTCTTCATTTCGAAATTGGTCAGCGATGTCAAATCTCTGCACCCATCGTTGAACGAGTTGCCAGCTGCAAAGGTGAGGAAGGTAGTTCTCGGACTCGCTTGAGGTCGTGAGTCGATGTGGCCCGAGGTCTAACAGGCGTGCCACAATGAAGGTGGCTCTTGTATGCCAACGCGGTGGCATCTGGACAAAGGTAAGGCGCGCAGAGTCTCCAACGCGTTGAATCTCAATTGCCGCCCAATGATCATCCATCAGCGCACAAATGACATTGGTGGTGTTGTTGAAGAGCATGCGTTCGCCAAAAGGTGACAGAGTGAACTCTCCATCGTTCTGGTTCCAGTACACAGGTGGAGTGAAGCGGAAAGCATCCTTCATAAACATAATGTTCTGATGCTCCAGAGCTCATCAGATGCAATCCAGCCGCGCGTCACACACATGTATTCAGTGCGCGCTTGGAAATTTGCCCCTGCTGGGAGCGTTGGAGTGGCACCGGATGCCAGGTGACCACCGCCTGCGCGAATCTCATGGCTTCTCTGCAAGTGGAGGAGTGTGCCCTGTTGGATAAGGCCCTGTGTGTTGGCATACTGGGATGCCATTGATCTGCTGAACACAGAAGAGCTCATCTCCAAGCCTGAAGGTTGGCAGGGACCTGGACTCAGCAGCAATGCAAGCATGCGCAACGTCATACTGCGGTGGGATGATCACTGCAACTGGACATTTCTCCTCTTCGGTTGTTGAAGCATTGTGGATGTGGAGCACTTTGGAGGTATAGGACACTTGCTCGTATTGGTCAAAAGCAGGGTGGTGGAGATGACTTCATCATCACGAATGGTGGGCCTGATAGCGCCCAACAGCTCCTCGTAGTTGGCCTCACTGCAGCTTAAGGAAAGTGCTCCTGGCAGCTTGTGATGCAGGATGTGGACTCCAACGCAAGACTTGGAATGCTCGAAATCAATGGATTTCATGTTGTTGAGCAAGTCGATGAATGGCTTACAGCTGGCAAAATCAGCAAGTGATCCCGGTGCTTGTAGTACCACAGTCACATCACCATCGGCATCCATGGGAAGTGTCGGCGAGATCTCGCCACTGAAAGGATGGACTTCAAGGAGACCGTTCAAATTGGCACGAGCCGATGGTGCAGGCATCAAGTTGCAATTGCCAACATTCTTGGGTTGCCGCAAGAGCTTGGATCATGACGTTGCAGGGCATCGAGCACTGCAAGGAGTTCTTCAGGTCCTTGAAGGGATGCCTTGAGGATCTTGGTGAAGGTGTCAACCGTGGTTGCCCGAAGCACAGCTTGATGGTCTTCCCCAAAGATGGAAAGGCAAACGAGCCATTCACCTTGTCATTGATGACCTTAGTGGAAATCCAACGGTGCAGGCTGCTCACAGGACAAAGACGGACAAAGGGACCTTGTGCGAAAGGGCAGCATTGGTTGCTGTCAGACGGTGCTCCCAAGCATCTCGCATGATAGCGACTGGATCAATGGCTTCAAGCATGATGGCATGAAGTCCAACACAAAGGCACAGGATACTTTGGGGAACCGTGATGGTATTTCCCACAGCCTTACAAGCTAGCGAAAGCTTTCCTGGGGGAATGATGTCACTGAGGGCGCCAAAAAGGCTACAGAAATGTGCCGGATCCAGAAAACAGAAGCCCTCACTTGTCTGCTTGAGGCATGCAAAAAGACACTCTTCAGTCGAATGTGCTCAGGCGCAAGAGTATGCTGTGTGCTATATGATGCGCGCAAAGTTGCAAGTGGCTCAGACATGCTGGGAACGCGAAGCTGAAGGCCGGCAGTCGGACAAGGCTTTGGGCCTACCTTGGCTCTATTGGCCGCTGGCAGGAATTGCGGGTCAATATATACTCAGAGGCACTAAGTCGAACTTGTTCCTGCCACACACTTGGCAGATGGAATTGGTAGCATCTGTCATGCCATGGAATGCGTGGCGCAATGGAGCATGGAAGCTGAAATCCAAGAGGCTCAGAAGGAGTGTCAGCACGGATCCAAACATACAGCCACCTGGAGCGAAAGTGATTGGAAAGCTCATGGTAGGGCACGATCTGTGTCCAAAGGGTCTTGTACCCCAAAGCATGCACCACGCTCTGTACAAGTGGATAGTGTGGATGAGATTGAAATTCATCAACACACTCTGCAAACACAAGCGCAGGTTGCTGCACGAAGACTTGCTGTACCGCTTCAATGAAACTCCAGCCGTTTGCGTCATGCAAACCTTCGGATTTGGACCAGCTTTGGCATGGTGGAGACATGGTGCACATCAAGTTTAACTGGCTTCGATGGACGCACGGCAGCGATCTGTCCGCGACACTTCCGACAATACCCAGCTTAGCAGTGGGGTTCCATGGCGTGTCAAAACGCAGCGGGCAGCTCATGATTTGCATAGCATGTTTGATTCCACACAAGTTCATGGTGACCTCATCAATGTCCACAAACACTTGTCGACCAACAACGAAACCAACACCTGAATTCGGAAGCCACTCAAGGCCTTGACTCCACCCTCCGAAAGCACCGCAGAAAAGGTGGGTGCAGTCCCAGGCATAGTTCGCATCCATCTCAGCTCTGAAACGCAGGGATGTACTGGCTGCGAAATTGAAGACCTTGGCCTTGGCTGAATGCAGTAAAGGTCCGTGGCAGACCACATGAACTCCAGCGGCTCCTTAACGCCAGGGATGTTGATGCAAACCTGCTCAGGCACATCACCTCCAGGTCGGAATCCAACCCCCGGTTGAAAGGAAAAGGGATGAACCACAACCCCCTCACCATTCAGATTGAGGACTTCACCCACAATGATGGCGCGCTCGCCCAGCATGACAGGGAAATGAGGGGCCCCAACACCATGGAGGATCGAGCGAAACATTGTTCGGCGCGTCTCCGCAAGGAGCAGATCTGCACGGTCCAGTGCAGCTTGCACAGCCATGGCAAAATCACTCGGATCGGGTCCAGGAAGCGTCACCACACGTGTGCACAGGGAGAGGTGTGGTGACACCTCCTCTTGGATGCCAATCGGTGCTCGCGCGCCCAGTTGGCCCTGGGCCCCCGTTGGCCCCAGCGTGAGGGCTTTTGATCCCAGCGGCTGTATATGTATATACTGTATACAGTATATATTTGCTGCTTCGCCTGGAGAACCAACTCTGTGGTCCAGTACAACCTCACAAAATGTGCCTTGAGGCCAGTTGCAGTCCCACTGTGAGTATGATACACACACACCATATATATATATATAACCCCGCCGAACACCTTCACCACCGCGCATCCTTTGGCGTTCTTTCTTGATGCGCGTTCAAACTTGCTGCGGTGATGTATGCATCCGTGCTTGCTTCGACTAAAGTATTCAATCATCCTTCACAAGTGCCGCGCAGTCTCGATCCGCAACAATTGGGTAAGGCGGGGGCCGCTAGCTGAAACTCCAAACGTGCAAGGAGTGCAAAGCCTTGTGCTCAGTGTGTTTGGCTTTTGTTTTCATATGATGCTACCTCTCCCTAAGAAAACTCCAAAGCAACTCAGACTCAAACAAACTATAAATTAATTGAATACAAACAACTTGAGTAACTTGAGGACAGATAAAATGTTGCACAAATAAGAGCTGCGGAGAAAGATGCTTGTAGCATCATGCTGTGCGATCGTCCCTGTACTCAATGAGCTGGATGCCCAGAGTCACTGCGCGCGTGAGCACTGAGGTGGCGCAAATACACTGACTTGGCCCAACCTGCACGGAGCCACAGTGTGGCCTTCTTGACCCTCTGCGCAAAAATGTGCCAGAATCAGTTACTGTAGCTTCGGATCTTACTGAGCTATTTGGACCATGACCTGCAATCAGCGGGATCAAGTCAAGAAAGCTAATTGGCGTCAGTTGGCTGGGGGATGGAATGACCTACCCGGTGAATAAATAATGTGTAGACATTCCCGTCTGTCAAGAAGTTAGCATGTTTTTCACATGTTGCTCATAGGCTTTTTGTGTACATGTTGAACTCAAAGGTTGCGTACTGTAGTAGCAAGAGAAGTAGCAGCTCAGTAGCAGCAGTAGCAGCAGCAGTAGCAGTAGCAGTAGCAGTAGTAGGAGTAGTAGTAGTAGTAGTGGTAGTAAAGTAGTGGTAGTAGTAGTAGTAGTAGTAGTAGTAGTAGGTGTAGTAGTAGTAGTCGTCGCCGTAGTAGTAGTCGTCGTAGTAGTAGTTGTTGTTGTTGTTCTTGTTCTTGTTGTGGGTGTTGTTGCTCATCTTCTTGTAGTAGTGAATGTTTTTGTTGTTGTTGTTGTGGTCGTGTTGTTGTTATGTTTGAAAGGGTTTTGTCATGTCGCATAGTTCCTTACAGTCCATCTCTCCCCCAGGTTCAACTTGAAATTCCCCCATCTACTATAGGCTGTCGCCTTCGTCGTCGTCTTGGTTGCCGCACCGTGTTCGTCATCGTGTTCCTTGGGCTGCTCCTCCCTCGTCGCCTGCGTTTCGCTTGTGTTTCTGCGCGCGTGTCGCCTGTGTGTTGCCTGCGTTTGGCGTCATTGTTCCATCGATTCGTCGCATACCTCATGACCTGCTTATTCCACAGAAACTGTCTCCCCCACCTGGCTTGTATACACCGAGCCACGATTTACACCAACCATGGTTTACGCCAAACCACGGTTTACACCACACACCCTTTACAACAACCCCGGATTACACCAAGCAGCGGTTGCTGGAAACCTCCAAACCAAGGTTTACACCAAAGTACGATTTACATCAATTTACACTAGTATTGTAAAAAACTTTCATTGGAAAGAGCCTGTTTTCTAAATTTGAATATCGCAAAAAAATCAAAAAAAGTCAATCCCAAAAGTCAAAGTCAAAAAAGTCAAATCAGAAAATTTCAGAAAGTCAATAAACAATCAATTTGCGCACATCCGACCTTTTTTTACCCTTTTTCGTTTTTTTTTTAACACCCTTTTTTTGGGCGGGGGAGTTTTTTTCAACTTTTTTTGGTGATTTTTTCGATTTTTTTGTTTTTTTACTTTTTCGAGCTGTGGTCTATGTCTATGGTTGATTTTTTCGATTTTTTTTGACCTTTTATTTGATTTTTCTTGATTCCAGTAATCCGCCAAGGCAAGGAGCCACGTCTTTTTTTGATTTTCTTTTTCGACATTTTTTTTTGGACTTTTTGTTTTTCGGACTTTTGTTTGACTTTTTTCGAGCTGTGGTCTATGGTTGACTTTTTTTTTGATTTTTTTTTCGACTTTTAAACTTTTCAATTTGTTTTTTGACTTTGACTTTTCCAGTTGACTCTTGTTTTGATTTTTTTGATTTTTTCTAAAATCACGGATTCTGGCCTTACCAGTAGTCACTACACACTGCGGGGTTCAAGGCCCCTTACTCGGCTTCAGGTGTTTGTATCGGTACATATATATACTCAACGCTCTCACCACCTCTCGTTTCCGGACTTATAGCTTTCGTCACCAACCCCCGGCCTCAAGTTTGTGCTTGCAATTTGTAAGTGGCTGGGCTAATGCAGTTGTTCTTTGTTGGAGAGCACCAGCCAGGCCGACTGAGGTGGAAGGTTCAGGATCTGCGCCGTAGGAAGAGATCCATCATTGAACTCGCTGAAACGCGCAATTTGGTGGAAGAGAAAATTGAAAATTTTCTGTAGGACAAACTTTGGTGTGCTTGGGTGGGGGTCAGGGTTGCTTGTGCGATTTTGGCTCAAGCCCTGACCCCCACCATGATGAATTTCTGGTGGGGGGCGTTCGCGGTTGCCTGGACGCTCGATGTACCCCGCAGCGGCGGCAGCCATGGAAATGCGCTCCCTTGTGGAGCTTCGCGATCATTTTGGGGTGCCTGTGGACCTATGGCAGGCCTTCATCACGGAAGCCGGGAACCCGCAGGAGGACATTCGACTTCTGGCGGCCTTGCCGGGCACGTTGGTGGCAGCAGCTTTGTCCCAGGCGGTGCTGCCGGGCGATGTGCGACTGTCTGCGATCCAGGCAGCCCAAGTGGGATTGGTTTGGAAGCTGGCGAGACGCCTCATGTTCGTGAAAGGGGGCGGCCAATGGGACGAATGGATGGAGGAAGACCCATGGTCATCTACACCAACCTCACCAAGCAAGGCATCAACGAAGAAGGAGAGTTCGAGCCCCGGGGAGATCACCAAGGAGTCGAAGGAGAGGACCCTGAAGTTCACCCAGGTGTTGGACCAAGGAGACGATGGGGAATTCGAGGTGCTCAACGAGGAGGACAAGATGGTTCTACTCCAACGGTATGTCAACTCGACAGGAACCATGCCAGAGGAAGAGGAGGAGCCGACCATCGAGCAGCTCTCAGCCTTGAAGAAGAAGATAGCCTTGGGCAAACCGCCCTACTGCGACTTCGGTGTCTTCGTTCCTTTCGGTCGGAAGGCCTTGAGGGCTTCGAAATACAGGACATGGATCCCGACGGCAGAGGGGTACGTGTCGAAGGAGCTGCCGGGGCCGGCAAACTTTACACAGTGGAGGGCTTGCTACAGGGTGTTCACTACGGCCATGTTGATGCTACAAGAATGTGCGCTGGCCCCACTACACGCGTACGAGCTCTACGTAGAGAAACTGACGAGGCTCTATCCCGATGCTTGGCACTTGGTGTACTCGGCCGACGAGATGGCGAGGTCAGAGCTGTTGTCACGACTCCGCATCAAGATCAACCTGGACCAGAAGGAAGGCAGGCCAATACCCCCGCTCTTCGACGAAAGAAAACCGTGGGAAACAGTGTTCAAGATGATCCCGGGCGAACTGAGGCCATCCGATGTCAGACCAAGAAGTGAAGCCCTCGGGAGACAATGAACCAGGCGGTGACGAAGGGAAGAAGGAAGAAAAGAAGGAGGAGGGAGGTGAACAAGGTGGACACAAAGAAGGAGAGGTCAGCGAGGAGGCAAAGAAGAAGTTGGAAGAGAAACTCAAAGCCTACATCAAGAGAAGGAAGTTTCGATTTGTACACCACTTCGCAGGACCTCGAGACCCGTTGGGAGCCGAGATTCACAGGGTGGCGAAGAAGAAGGGCCTCATCGTCGAAGTCATTGCGGCGGAGAAGGACTGGCGGGACGATTTGTGCGCCGACGAGCCCTACAATTCGCACCTGCGCTGGGCCCGAGAAGGTTTGATCGATGGGTATCATGCTGGCTTCCCTTGCTCGACGTTCTCACGCTTGAGGTTCAGGGCGGGTCCAAACCTTCCGGAACCTGTACGTACCCGAGCTGAACCATACGGACGGAGCTCAAACAACGAGCAGCAGCGCAGGGAGTGCGACAGAGGAACAGTGAGGATGGCGCGCTCCGTTCAAATGGCAGAGGAGGTGATGAAAACACAGACCTCCCTCATCGTCCCGAAGGTGACCACGCTCGAGAACCCGCCGCCATCGGAACTGGAGGAGCACGTGTCGGCTTGGGGTATGGCTGAGGTCATTGGCTACTTGAGACTACCTGGCATCAAGATCTCCTTGTTCAACACGTGCGCCTACCAAGCAGACAGGGCCAGAGGAGACCGTCACTGGAAGATGCAACAGTTCGCGGGCTCACTCTTTGGCATCGAAAGCCTCAACAGGGAGTGCAAATGCGGCAATAGCAGACATCGACCGATCATCGGAAAGAAGGAGTCTCGAGAGTCGGGCGAGTACCCTTGGGCGCTTTGCAACAGCTATGCACTACTCCTCATGGAGCACTTCGAGAAGATGGCCACGGCGGAGTACTTGGAGGGCAGGTTGAAGGACGAGGAACAGTTCCATGACGGGGCAGCCACCAGTGATGCAGCGGCAACGCAGATGAGAGAAAAGAGGAGGAGGGAAGGGGTCCGCTACTCACCAACGCCGGAGGAGGAGAGGCAAGAAAGAAAGGGGAGGGAAGCAGGAGAGGAGTTGAAAAGGAGGAAAATGGATGAAGAAGGTCATGGAAGTTCTCGACACGACGAAGGTGGGAGGAGCAGAGAAGAAAGGGGGAGGAGCAGAGAGAGGAGGAGTCACGACCGGAGGAGCGGGAGGAAAGAGCAAGACGTGAGAGGGAGAAGAGAGAAGCAAGACGGGAGGTCCGAGAAGAAGGAAAGGTCGAGATCCAGGGGAAGCCCAAGAAGGACCGATAAAGGGAAGGAAGGGAAGGCGAGTGCGGCAGGGAAGATGGAGAAACCAAAGGACCCAAAGGACCTGAGATGGAAGCCGGGAGAAGGAAAGTATGGACTGATGAAGGAGGAGAAGAAGAAGGAACAACAGCTCAACCAGCAGGAATTCGTTGGGGGAAGTGGTAGAGGGCCTTCCAACGCTGCAGAACTTGGGTAGAAGAATACTGGGAACGCTTCCTCGGACTGTACCCGGCAGCAGTGAAGGTGGGCGAAACCTATGGATCAAAAGACTGCCAATGGGACGACAGGCTGGTGAAGAAGTGGAGGGAAGAGCTGAAGATGTTGACGGGGGCGAAGGGGGAATCCACTGTCGAGCAAGTGGTCCTTCAAGTCACCGTTGCAAGGCAACCTCTTCGAGGCTTGGGGGCGCCGAGGAAACGATCCCGAGACAGAGGTCCCGAAGTGGATCAAGGAAGGGGTTCCGCTGGGAATCAACAAGAAGATCGGGACATGCGGCATTTTCCCTCCAACGATCAAAGAGGACCTCCCATCGATGCAAGGAGAGCTGCAGGCGGTGCAAGGCCATGCAAGGCCTCAAGGAAGACATCGCCAACTACATCTCGGTGTTGGAACAGGAGGAGGACGCCAGCGAGGAAATTGGGAGGTTGACCAAGCTGGGCTACGTTATCAAGGTGCCCAAGAAGGAGATAGAAGAGGCAGGATTCAAAGGAACGACAGTCTCGAAGCTGAGCCTCATCGTGAAGAAGAAGGAAGATGGCTCCACGAAGCGGCGTATCATCATTGACCTGAAAAGGTCAGGAGGCAACAACAAAGCCTACTTACCGGAGAGGCTAGTGCTGCCGAGGCCAGTGGATGCAATAGCAATGATGAGACGCATGCACGCCTCGCACAATCAGGAGACGGACCCCCAGGAGAAGGTGATGGAACTGGTCATGATCGACATCTCGGACGCGTACATGCACCTGGCGATGGCAGAGGAGGAGAAAGGGCACTGCTTGGCGCCGGCGCTGGACAATAACCACTGGCTATTGTTCGTGGCGCTCCTCTTTGGCTACAAGACTGCCCCATTGACTTGGTCCAGGGTGGTGGCGATGGTGGCCAGGTTCGTGCAATCGGTCGTGCCCGCAGACCAAGGAATGCGCCAAGTGTACCTGGACGACTCATTGTGGATTCTTTGTGGGAAGTTGGGTGCACGGAACCGCACACTGGCCTTGATCCTCACGACGATGGCAGCCCTGGGACTGAAGGTGTCGCTGGGCAAAGGTGAACGTGCAGCCGCAGTGACTTGGATAGGGGTCAAATTCAAGTTGGTGGCGCCGGACTACGACCATCTGCTGGTGACACTCCCGGAGAAGTTCATGAAGGAGCTCCAAGACCAACTCAGCGGCTGGGAGAAGAAAGGCATGATCGGAACGGGCGAGCTTCGGAAGGCAGCTGGGCGGGTAGCTTGGCTGGCGGGGATCCTGCCCCGTGCACGGTGGGTGGCATCCACTTTGTACGCCGCACTATACGATCACGAGGAGGACGTGGCAAGGGGAGTGGAGGCTGATCGCAGGACCCGGCGCAAGGACAACCGGCCGAAGGACCATTTGATTGCAGTGAAACGGGTTGAGGAGGCTCGTTTATGGTTGATGGCATACCTCAAGGCGGCGCAGAGCAGGCCCATTCGGAAGTTCAGCTTGTACAAGAGTGGCAAAGCAGAAGCCACACTCATGACGGATGCCTCGCCGACGGGCCTTGGTGCGCTACTCCTGGTGAATGGCAGGGTGACGAAGGCTTTAGCATCACCGGTGGTGGAGCAGGACTCAAAGCTCTTGGGATTCGCACTCGGAGAATCGAGCTCCCAGGGGATAGTTGAGACTCTGGCCATCCTGGTGGCGATCAAACACTGGGGGCGGCTATTAGCCTCAGTGAGTGTTTCAGTGGCAGTGCAGTCCGACTCGATCACGGCACTGGCCATGACACAGAAATTTTCAAACACCAGCTCGGCCTTGAACTTTTTGGGGGCGGAGCTGGCGGTGGCCTGTGAGGGCTTGGGGCTGTCGGACATCACACCAGTACACCTGCCGGGCACGGCCAACAAGGAAGCGGACTTTCTGTCCCGCCCAGACACATGGGCGACGACAGAGCTGCCAGCGGCGCTGGAGGGTATCACGATCGAGACGCCAGAGCTGCGGACGGTCGGCTGGTACACGACGCACCCTCCGGGACCGGACTCCTCCGAATGGCCGGGCCCGACGCCCTGCTGGCGGCATGGGCATACCGTCACTGACGGGAGCCGTGAAGGGAAAAGGGAGAGGGGAGGAAGCAGGGTGGGCCGAGCTTAGTGTTTTTGACCCCCCCTTCCCCTCTTTGGGGTCCGTCATCGGTCGCCGACCTTAAGGTTTGTCGGGTGCAGTCTTAGCCGAAGACGCCTGGGCCCAAAGCATGGAGGTCGCTACAATGACCACCCTGGCGATTTCGCCACTCGTCCCGAGCGGGTGGACTCACCCATGGCAGCTCTACATGCTCTGCTACCTCATCGGGATCGGTGTGTTGACCCACCTCGCGGCAGCTTGGCGAGGTTACAAAGTCTGTCGCAAGTGGATACGCCGCTTTTTGACCCCTCCGCGGATGCCCACGGGAGAGCGAACAGGGGCGGAGGACTCAGAGAACGAGGTATGGCAGGAGCCGTGGGACATGGACGACACCTACGAAGCGATGGCTTGGACTCCGATGGACGGTATTCGACATCGACACCTGGAATCCCCGGGACCCACTCCCTGGTCGGACATGATAGTAAGGATGAATACAGAGGACCATCAAGAGCTTCGGGAACCACCGAGCACGATGAGAACTACGGAGAGAGATACTCCATCTTCGATGAGGTCACCGGGGGAAAGGAGGCCGAGGAGAAGGGAAACGGAGGCATCAGAGAGGAGGAACTCGCCACCGCTGAGAGAATCAGTGCGGGAATCGGGAGACATGCTGTGGCTAGTGACGAGGAGGCTGAACTCGAAAGACAGCTGGCAACTATGAGTGATCGAGATGACGAACTCGTCGAAGGGTCCTTGGAGCTCTACCTGGAGAACTACAATGAACAATGGAACTACCCCGAGTTTCCTCCACAACCACCGGCCTTTTTGCTGGGAGATCGGCTATTCGAAGACGGCGAAGGGAGCTTAACAAACTTCGTCACGAGGAAGAGGAAGGTGCTGGAGGAACAGCCAGAGGAGAAGAAAGGGGTAAGGAAGAAGGAGTTGACAGATAAGCCTTGGACCACGACGGGCGTTCTACCTCAACGGCATGAAGGAAAGAAAACGAGTGCTGAGAGTAGATCGTCAAGGCGAGACCTACCCCTGAAGCCGAAGGTGAAAGGCATCGACAAAACGAATCAGAAGTGGAAGAAGGCCATTCAGACGGCACGCTTCCTCAAAATGAACAGGGGGAAGCACACGGGCTCGCTGCAGGACTTCAGGATGGCGTACTATGCAAATTCGTCGAGGAAAGCCAAGGCGTCCATCCGGAAGACGGTCAACAAGATACTGAACAACCTGGGCGTGAAGGGAACGAACGAGTGTTGGACAGTCGAAGTACTCGAACAAGTGGGTGCTGTACTCCGTTCCTCTGAGTACAAAGCGGGTGTCACCTACTTGGCTGAGTATAAGAACATGCTGATCGAGAAGGGCAACGTTTGGACCCACCAGTTGCAACGAGCCTTTGCACAAGCCTCCAGGGCCTTGAAGCGTGCCAGAGGTCCAGCGAAGAAAGCCATGGAGGTGGATCAGGACCGCTGGCTGGAATCCTACAGAGCGGAGCAAAATGAAAAGTCAACTGGAGCGGTACACAACCCCGCACTGATGTTTGCTTTCGCCGCAACATGGATGCTGAGAGAAGTTGAACTGGCAGCAGTCTACAAGGAGGACATTGCGATCGACCCGAAGGAACGAATAGTCTCGCTGACACTCAGGATTTCGAAGGGTGATCAAGAAGCAATGGGCTTGAAGCGAACACTGCAATGCGATTGCCAGAGCTGCGATTGGACAGAGCCATGTCCGTACAACATTGCGAAACGGGTTCTGGGCAACACACCAATCGAAACAGATCGTATAGTTCATGGCGACGGCGAAGGAGTGGTGGAAAAGAGCCAGACAATCGCAGCCTGGAGGAAGCTGTACGGCAAGAAGGTCTCAGGGCATTCGGGCAGAAGATCAGGCGCCTTGCAATACATTAGAAGGGGATGGCATGTCCCACAGGTTGCGTACTTGGGACGATGGAAATCCAATGTCATACTCCAGTACGCCGAGGAAGCCTTAGAGACGATGCCGGTTATGGCTCGCTCGAGAAGAAACACGGGCACACCACCGCCGAAGACGGAGATCATTACGAAGACGGCGGAGGAACCGGGCACGAAGGTCTTGGAGAAGGTGAAGGAGACGGGGGCCAAACTGAAAAAGGAGATCGAGCAGCTGAGAGCAATGCAAGACAAGTTGGACGAGTCCATTGACAAATGGGAAGAAATTTCTATTCGACATCAAGGGCTGCTACCACCTGTGGTGATTTCAAAAGCTGGATTGGTGCATGAGAACAGGCGACAACCAGTGGCTTCACCTGTGACGGCTTGGCACACGAGGTGTGGATGGCCCTATGGTTCATCAAACTTCTGCTTTGGCCAGGACATCACGACGGTGACGTGCTTAAAGTGTAAGACCCTTGCGCTGGGCATCGAGGAGAAAAGTGGCAAGGGTGGAGGTTGAATGAGCGTGGAAGATCATGCACCTCTGACACCGGCGTTCGAAAAGCGTGCTTGAGTTTTGAATTGGGTGGATAGCACGCCATATTGTCGTGGAAGAAAATTGAAAATTTTCTGTAGGACAAACTTTGGTGTGCTTGGGTGGGGGTCAGGGTTGCTTGTGCCATTTTGGCTCAAGCCCTGACCCCCACCATGATGAATTTCCCCACCCACCCACTCCAAAAAGGAGAGGAGAAAAGTGGCAAGGGTGGAGGTTGAATGAGCATGGAAGATCATGCACCTCTGACACCAGCGTTCGAAAAGCCTGCTTGAGTTTTGAATTGGGTGGATAGCACGCCACATTGTCATACTTTAAATTTAGTCTAGTCTTAAATAAATCCGGTTGTCCTCGTCCTTGCACTTTTCAATTTTGTACTGTCCTAATCCCTGATTTAAATGCTGTGGGTCCGTAGCATTTTTCACCACGTCATTGTGCAACTCATATATAAAGGTACCATAATTCTTTTTGTAACGAGCAAATCATCCTACGTTCATTCCATTTCATTCCTGTTTGTTCACTTTCATACCTGATACTACAGTGTATCAAGGGGTGCACGCTGAGTCGTGGGGCTCAAGGCTAGGGTTGATTGGGAGAGGAAACCAAAAACGAGAGTTTTGAATCTTCAGCCACACTAATCATTGGAGCAGGATCAGGGGCAGTGTTCAAAGTAGATTCAAGGAGCGCGGTGGGGGAGCTTCAGGGCTTGGAGGGTCGCCGGACGGTTCTGGTGGAGGATAGGGAGTTCTGGAGAAGAATCTGGAGAAAGCGCTAGGCTCTGTTCTGGGGAAGGGCAGGCGTTTGGACTGGATTTGCGGTGAGTTCAAGTAGACCTGACGGGTGCGTCGAGGCGACTTGTCGATGGTGGGGTTTTCCGCGTATGCTGGTGCCCTGGAGCCCAACAGGGTGGAGCCTGACACTTGGATAATATGCAGATGCTTGTATTGTACCAGGCTGGTAACGAGATGGTCTTCTAGTCTGAAATCTGTTTCCAAGGCTGAGAGGAGCAACTGCTCCACAGCTGCAGACTTCTACGCAGAGGTGCGGACATACAACATGTCAGGCTCCCATGATGCCCCCAAAGCTCATCCCATGCTGGTGTTGGTGTCCTGGCTGCTTTGGTAGCATTGGGAATCATTCCAGGCACACTCAACACCACCGAATCCTTCAATAGAGCTGTTTGGTGTCTGCCTGTTTGCAATGTCACTCCGCTGTATCGGAACGCTGTGAAAGTTGGTGGCCACTTTTGAGTCGTGAAATGTTCAGACACTTAGACATTTGCAAAATCATTGAGTCAACTCGCGTCTCACCCAGCTCTTTAAACATGGAGGTTGGGAAGGTTCGGAGCCTGGAGCCTCGAAGCTGGAGGAAGCACGCCATGTTAGGCAGTTAGCATGATCAGCTTGAACGAACCCCTTGCACCCCTCCCCATCGCCGATTCCACATTTCACTTCACATTGGTTTCATGTGCTGCGACACTCCCACGCATCTTCAAAAAGGATCCTTTTCAGGATTCTGAGCTTGAGGGCGTGCTTCATGTGGAAAAGAAAGGCATCTCCACCTCCCTGCTTGACAGTATTAATACAGTATTGAGTGCGTGGACTATGTTTGCGACTCTGTATTTGGTCTCCCAACCAGAGCCAGATGCTCAAGTAAGTAGTTCCTCGGTGTTTCAACTCTGGAGTTCCTGACGACGTGCGGGCATACAGGATTCTTTTGTCACCATTTCTGTGTGTGTGTGTGTCCAACCCTGGACAAAGGGTCTTCCACCACCACTCTTTC